TGATGATAAGAGGCAAAGAGCCGCATTAATTTTGGCCGGGAGCCGCATGCGGCTCTAGAGCCACGTGTTCGCCACCCCTGCACTAGTTGATCTTCCCTTAGGTAATGAAATAACTCTGAGGTAGCCCTGAGCTGGGTAGCCCAGGCAAGCCCAATCTTGTCAGATCTCAGAAGCTCAGGGCCGACCCTGGCAAATATTTGGAAGGGCGACCTCCAAGGAATATCAGGGCTGGGATGCAGAAACAGGTAATATCAAGCCACTTCTCTGAAACATCCTAACCCTGCTAGGGGTTGCCAGAAGACACCATGACTTCCAGAGTCACAAGCACATACACACACACACAAACACAACACTTACCAAAAAGGAAAGAAATAACTCTGAGGTAAGACTAAAGGCAAAAGCAGCTCTCAACAGTTTATTGCCCCCACTAATGACTGAAGCCAGTTATAAATTTGGGAGATATTGGTGGGGGGAACCTACCATTTCCAGATTATCACAAGTTTCGGCACCTCTCATATGAGAAATGAAACACATATAATCAGCCTCTTTAAATCTTACAGAATGAATTCAGAAAATGTATATGTTATTTTATTAACCATTAGCGCTTTTTGTCCTTGTCTTGTTGCTCATATACAGGAAGGGAAGAACAGAAAGGAGGGCCAACTAAAAAGGAAAAGAGGTGGCGGACTTACCTTTCTGTTCTAATTATTTGGCAAATGTTTTTCTTGAGTTTTTGGGTTTGGCATTAGCAGGACGAATGTGCATTCCTGTCTGCATCTTAAGTGGAAAGAATGCAATTAACACTGCAAGATTTTCTGAAAGAAAATTAACTTTTAGAACAGGTGATTTAGGGCATATGATCTGTGGTTAATTTCTAAAAAAATGATTGGTAGACTCTCCAGCAGTTTTGAAGGTGTGTAGTATGTTTTTTGTCGTAGTCATGGATATGAGGCAGTGAGCTGCAGGTTATGAAGAAAAGGCACCTGCAGATTTTCTGATGCACTGTTCTTTAAATGTTATGGTAGCAGATTCAGCGTAGTAATGAAAGAACAGAGTGACGAGATACAGTAGATATTTCCTTGCTTCAGTGTCTCAGAATATATTTTTAATGAAAGTCTGAGCTAAGTATTTCTTTTCCAGTTCCTTAAATGACTATATAATGACTTTAAAAAAATATTTCAACATCTGTCATTTTTCTGAAGCGCAAACACAGTTTAATTAAGTGATCATCATTTTGGGTTACTTTCAGTATTGTATGTTGAGTTTCACGCTACAGTCCTGTTTCTGTGCCAGACTCTGCTTAGCTTTAACTTTGTGAACTGGCTATATCTTGAATTTGACCCAAAACTTGACTAATCTGTAATGAAGACCAGGTTTCATGGAACTTGGCAAAAGAGATATCCTTTCAGCAGTTGCATAATGGCTCACCCTGCATAACCACCTTTCACTGGCAATGGCTTTGCTTTTCAAATCATTTCCCAAGTTCTCAGCACACTAGGCGGAAACCTCAAACTTTTCCAAATCTCTAAGGTGTGCCCTATGCTCCAGAGCACCAAAACGTCTCTGAAATCTCAAACATTTCTTTTAGCCCCCTCCCTCCCTCAACTCCCTCCAGTAAACAGAAATAAAAAATTCCTTTTTGCAGTTATGCACCATACTCACTGCAGGCAGGCATAGCCAACAGTCTCTGCGCTAAATCTTGTTCAGCATGCTTTGTGCATCTGTCTGAGAAACTCCTTCTGCAGAAACATAAAGTTAAGTTTTATAGCAAATTCTGCTCGCAGACTCTGAATTGTGGGTGCCAAGTCATCCATGTAAGGCATTCAGAAAGATACATTTTTCATTTTCATGAAAACTAATGTTGGTCATGGAAAACCGTGGTTGCATTTGACCTCAATGACTTTGCGTGAAGATCTTGCAGATGTCAATAAGCCTCGGGCTACAGATTTTTTTATGACATAGCAACAACTGGTGTGTATTTTGCCAAGCCTCTTTGCCAAATAAGCCTTCCCACTACCAGGTGGCATTGCTGAGAGATTTTTATAACTTTCTCTTTTGTACCTTTCTAGCAGAAGTGAAATAAATTGTGCTGAAAAAGAAATTAAATGTAAATGTGTATAGGTTTCAGAATTAAATTGGCCAGGGACAGAACTGCTTATCTGCAACATATACAAGTACACTATCCCCCTGTGTTCTTTAGAATTGTTATATTTTTAACGGAGTATATTATTTACGAGAAGCTTTTAAATGATCTTTTGTTGGGGCAGCTCGGTGTAATTTGCCATAACCTATTTATTTATTTATTTGTCTAACTGTTTCACTGCCCCTTCTTGTTCCTGTGTTATGCCAATAAAGGTTTATGTATGTATGTAAGTAGGAGCTGCGGTGGCTCAAGTGGTTAAGATGCTGAACTGCAGGCTGTGGAAGGTCAGTAGTTCAGCAGTTCAAGACCCGGGTGCCGCAAGACGGAGTGAGCTCCCGTCTCGAGTTCCAGCTCCTGCCAACCTAGCAGTTCAAAAGCAAGAAATTGCAAGTAGATAAATAGGGACCACTTCGGTAGGAAGGTAACAGCGTTCCGTGCGCCTTGGTGTTTAGTCATGCCGGCCACATGACCACGGAAACGTCTTCGGACAGTGCTGGCTCTTTGGCTTTGAAACGGAGATGAGCACCACAACCCTGGAGTCGGATTCGACTGGCTTTCGAGCAAGGGAACCTTTACCTTTTATGTATGTAAGTACACTATCGGCAGAACCCAAGTGCCTCACTATGCCACCACAGCGGCTTGGTGGATGATAGAGCTGCTATTCTGCTCTCCACAGCACCACTTCTGTAGATGGCCAATCAGTGGCCCTGCAGCCAGGGGTCATTTTGTAGAAAAAGAGGTGCAGGACCTCATTAGCATAACTCATTAGCATAACTTATTTGCATATGCCACACCCCCTGACATCACCACTGGACTGTTTTGGATTGCTAGCTATTTTTTGGGGGGGGGATGTGCAGATCTGTCCTCACAGAGGAGGCAGAGCTTGTACTTGAATAAAACTTGGTCTTAAAGGTGCCACTGGACTGTTTTGGACCGGCGCGCCCGGGGGGGGGGGCTCTGCAGCTTACCTGGATGCTTCTTGCTCTGATGAGGGCTGCTGGGAGCAGGGGGTGGGGCTTGTTGCATGTGCCAGCCCCCTGGGCTCCTTACTGCCGGAGCTCCGCTCCTGTGCGCTCCTGCAGGAAATGACCCCTGCCTGCAGCCATCAGTTCATCAGAGACCAGGCAGCACAAGGGTCAAAGGTGTAGCCTACCTCCTCAGTCTGAGCAACAATTCCCAGTAAAGCCCAGCCAAAAGCAATGACCAAACTGCTGAGGTTTCTCATTCTGACCATACATTTGTTAAGTGTTTCTGATATTGTTAGATGCTGTTTATTGTAAACAGATCCTTTTGATTCCAAAGTATCACACTTCAAAATACACCACTGACTTCCCTTAGTTGAGGTAAGGCAAAGGTTCCCTTGCTCAAAAGCCAGTCAAATCCGACTCCAGGGTTGCGGTGCTCATCTCCGTTTCAAAGCCAAAGAGCCAGCGCTGTCCGAAGACGTTTCCGTGGTCATGTGGCCGGCATGACTAAACACCAAGGCGCACGGATCGCTGTTACCTTCCCACCGAAGTGGTACCTATTTATCTACGTGCAATTTCTTGCTTTCGAACTGCTAGGTTGGCAGGAGCTGGAACTAGAGACGGGAGCTCACTCCGTCATGCGGCACCCTGGGTCTCGACCTGCTGAACTACTGACCTTCCACAGCCTGCAGTTCAGCGTCTTAACCACTTGAGCCACCGCAGCTCCCTTATTTGAGGTAGTACAATGCCAAATGTCTCAGAAATTTACACTTAAGTAGCCCGCGCTAGTTTAAACTTCTCAGAACACAGAAGCTAAGTGAGGATGACTATGGTTAGTCCTTGCATGGGAGACCACCAAAGAAGACCAGGACTGCTATGGAGAGTCAGGCAATGGCAAACCACCTCTGCCTTGAAAACCCCATGAGCAGTCTCCATAAGTTGATGGTGGCTTGACGTCAATTACTGTTAGTATTCTGTGATTCAGTAGCAAAGCAGTTAGCATGATGTGATGCATTGTTTGTGGGTTTGAGCAGGGTATGGGGGGGGAGGCGCTGGAAGGAATGAACACACACACACACACACACACAATAATCTTGGATCAAACTGGCCACAGCTTATTTATTACTACGGACAAAGGAGCAGCGGCACAGCATAGGGACGAGTCCTAATATTGGGCAACCCACCTGCTGCCTGAGGCCCCCAGCCCACCGGCTGGGGGTTGACAACAGAGTGGCAGGCTCCTGGGACATATGCAGGCGCCGGTCTCTGCATGGTCGCCCTGCCACCTGGGGCGGAAGCCAGCCAACAGCCCCCCCTGGGTCTGCAGCTGAATGGCTCCACGCCCCGGGGCCCCTCATGGGGCTCCCCAAAAATCGGGGAGGTGTGCACAGAAGCACACCTCTCCCCCAACAGGACCCATCCCAATGCCCAAACCACCAAGATGTGACACTAAAAGATAGCAAAGAACATCATACTACGACTAGTTCAAGCTACAAAACATCAACGAGCACAAAGATGAGGGAGGGAGAGTGGGCAAGCCGCTGCCAGGGACAAAAGAGGCTGGAGTCTGGTGCGGGGTGCTCCAAATCCCCCCCTCTCTTCGAGCTCCTGCCCCGCCGTCGACCACATGCAGCAGCTCAACGGGCAAGCCTCCAAATGCCAATGCCCCACCTCCCTTTAGGGGCTGTCCGAACCTGGTCGCCTCCTTCCAGCCTCCCCTCGCCTCCTGTCCAGCAGACCGCGGCCAAGGTAGGTCTCCGCCATGCTTGCAGAAGGAAACCCCAGAGACTGGTAGGGATCAGTGAGGAGAGCACGTGACGGGGAGAGTATAAACAAAGACTTCAGCAGAGATTAAAATGTGTTTTCCTCTTCTTTTACTTGCAAATATACAGAACATGGTTTTGTTGGCTATTCTGAAGGCCTTATGTTGAACAACACGCTTCCAGACTACAGTCCGGGGGAGTCTTTCTTCACTGTATTTGGAGTATTCTTCCCAGCTGCTACAGGTACTGTGAAACTTTGTGGAATGTACCCAAGAACTTTGCAGTGGTTACTGTGCATCATAAATATCTTAGCTTTTAAAGAAATCCTACTTGTACACATCATAGATCCATAGAAAATTTCAGAGAAATAGTTGCAATAGAGGCTGACCTTGCCTCAGACCAAAAGGTGATTGTTTCCAAGAGTGAAGGGAGACTCCTGCACAGATTCTCTGCCTTCCTTTGGCTCTTTACCCCGTGATGTTCCAAGTATCCCCCTCCTGTCCACCTCTCCAATTTCTGTTACAAATGTTCAAACTTTGCAAAAACAATATTTTGCAGCTCAAATATGTTTGGAAAAAATGCATACACTTTTTTGGCTATTTTTTTGTTAGAATCATAGAGTTGGAAGGGACCTCCAGGGCCATTAATCCAACCCTCTGCATAATGCAGTAAATTCACAAATACCTCCCCCCCACCCCCAGTGACCCCTGTTCCATTCCCAGAAGATGACAAAAAACCTCCAGGATCCCTGGCCAAACTGGCCTGGAGAAAAATTGCTTCCTGACCTCAAAGTGGCGACCAGCATTTCCCTGGGAGTGTAAGAAAGGGCCACAAAAACTAAGCACTGAGACAACCCTTCCTGTCTTCCCACTCATGATCTGCCTAAGTTCACAGAATCAGCATTGCTGTCAGATGGCCATCTAGCCTCTCTTTAAAAACCTCCAAAGAAGGAGAGCCCACCACCTCCCAAGGAAGCCTGTTCCACTGAGGAACTGCTCTTACTGTCAGGAAGTTCTTCCTAACATTTAGCTGAAAACTCTTGATTTAATTTCAACCCACTGGTTCTGGTCCAACCTTCTGGGGCAACAGAAAACAACTTTGCACCATCCTCTGTATGACAGCCCTTCATGTACTTGACGATGGTTACCATATCACCTCTCAGTAATCTCCTCTCCAGGCTAAACATACCCAGCTCCTTCAACCTTTACTCGTAGGACTTGGTCTCCAGACCCCTCACCATCTTCATTGCCTTCCTCTGGACACTTTCCAGCTTGACTATATTATATCCTTCTTAAATTGTGGTGCCCAAAACTGAACACAATACTCTAGGTGAGGTCTAACCAGAGTAGAGTAAAGGGATACCATCAGTTCACGTGATCTGGACACTATACTTCTGTTGATACAGCCAAAATCGCATTTGCCTTGTTTAGCTACTGCATCATACTGCTGACTCATGTTCAGTGTATGGTCTACTGAGACCCCTAGATCTTTTCACACATTCTACTGCCAAGACAAGTCTCCCCCATCCTATAATTATGCATTTGATTTTTCCTACCTAATGCAGAACTTTACATTTATCCCCACTGAAATTCATTTTATTTGTTTTAGCCCAGTTTTCCAGTTGACTGTGGGTTAGCTACAAAATGTGGGCTCTTTTTGGTGTGAAAGTTATATAGGTTAGTACTATAAAGCAAATGTGAATAATTGATGTCTGGAATTCACTGAGCATATCTCCCCCTTTCAGGTACCTGCATCAGGCAATATCAGCCTGCTATTGTGGGTTCATGCTTTTCATTCTGTACAGCTATAGTCCCATTTCATAGTTCAGTCTTGTTTTGTTTTGTGCCTGAGTGATAATTGATTAGTCATCATTTGTTGTAGCTGTTTTGACTTTGAGGGAAACAAATGAACCACCCAGACTTAGACTTTATAACATAGAAATGTCCTCGCCTCTCACCAAGACAGTATGGGGGGGGCCTCATTTAGCATTTACATACACAGTCCTTTTCCTAAGTGCTTTCCATGTGTTGTGATTCTTACAACCCTGTAAGATAGATAGATAGATAAATAGATAGATAGACAGGCAGGCAGGCAGGCAGGCAGGCATATTGCAGATGGAAGGTTCAGACATCGAGTGAATTCCTGGTGTAACTGGGATTTGACCCAGGGCTGTCCCTAGGCACACGGAAAGGGAGCGGAGCCACCCAACTTCCAGATTCTTCTTGCCTGAATCCCTTGTCCATCAGCTGCAGGAACTGGTTGTCCTCTATAGATGGAGTGGGTTCATTGTCATCCTTTGTTGTCTGGAACACTGTAGCTCCCAAGACAAAAGTCCCTTTCAATCAGCATGAAGTGTTCTGGACATGGCTTCAGGTGGGAGGGTCGCCCCTTGTCTAGGATGCTTGTGGCGAAGACGCTCATCTGAATTGGCATCTGCAGGTGATCTACACACACGTCCCCCACAGTGACCCATCCCAGCTGTAGTCTCTGGGCATGCGGTATGCCAGGAGGTCCTCTGAGCAGATTGTGACCGGCTAGTAGGTCGGGAATGTCTGTTCCCAACAGGAGCAGGTTTTCTGCATCGGGATCCAGGGCAGGAAGTTGGCTTGCAATAGGTGCTAAATGAGGATGGTGGAGCATGACATCTGGTATGGGAGTCTGGCCACAGTTGTCTGGCTCATGTTCTTACAATAACATTCTTAGCCCCCGACCTGGATAGCCCAGCTTAGCCTGACCTCATTGGATCTTGGAAGCTAAGCAGGGTTGGCCCTGAGTAGTATTTGGATGGGAGACCAACAAAGAATTCCAGGGTTGATATGCAGAAGCAGGCAGAGGTCATTTCGGTGGGGGAACGCGGGGGAACACAGTTCCCCCGGGTGAGGTGCAGGGGGTGGGGCACATGACGAAGCCCTGCCCCCTGCTTCCGGCCGCCCCGCTTCCAGCCCTCATTCAGCCAGGAGGAGGGAGGAGAAGAGGGAGGGTAAGTTGCTTCCTCCCCACCTCTCCCCACCCCTGACTGCCTGGGGCCAGGGAGGGCCTTGGCGGGGCTTCCTCGCACTCCCGCTGGCCTTGCAGGTCCACCGCCGGGCCCCTGATGTCAGGGGGTGTGGCATATGCTAATGAGTTATGCTAATGAGTTCCCCTAGCTCTTTTTCTACGAAATGACCCCTGGAGGCAGGCAATGGCAAACCACCTCTGAATGTCTTTTACCTTGAAAGCCTATGGGGTCACCGTAAATTGACTGTGACGATGCATGAACACATGAAGCTGCCTTATACTGAATTAGACCCTTGGTCCATCAAGGTCAATATTGTCTACTCAGACTGGCAGCAGCTTTCCAAAGGCGCAGGCTAAGATCTTTCCCATCACCTAAATCCTGATCCTTTAAACTGGAGATGCCAGAGATTGAACCTGGGACCTTCTGCATGCCAAGCAGATGCTCCACCACTGAGCCACAACTCTCACACAGCATCTTAAGCATATCATCTCCCTCCATAAGGAGTTTGGGTCTGATCCTAGATGCTTCCCTCTCATTAGAGGCTCAGGTCACAAATACGGCCAGGATAGCCTTCTTCCATCTTTGCCAAACCCAGCAACGGATCCCTTACCTGTCCCCATGCTGACCTGGCCACAGTGATCCATGCAACAGTCACCTCTAGATTAGACAATTGTAACTCACTCTGCACAAGGCTGCCCTTGAACTTGCTCCGCAAACGTCCACTGGTCCAGAATGCGGCAACGCAGGTCCTGATTGGGACCCCTTTCAGAGCACATATTCAACAAGAGAGCCAGTTTGGTGTAGAGATTAAGTGTGCGGACTCTAATCTGGGAGAACCGGGTTTGATTCCCCACTCCTCCACTTGCACCTGGCTGGATGACCTTGGGCAAGCCATAGTTCTGATATGAGCTGTCCTTGAAAAAGAGCTGTTTCTGTCAAGAGCTCTCTCAGCCCCACCTACTACCTCACAGGGTGTCTGTTGTGGGGAGGGGAAGGGAAAGGAGTTTGTAAGCCGCTCTGAGACCCCTTTGGGTAGTGAAGGGTGGGGTATAAATCCAATCTCCTCCTCCTCTTCCTCTTCTCCTTCTTCTTCTTCTTCTTCTCTACCAGCTGCACTGGCTCCAGATCGAGTACCGACTCAGGTTCAAGTTTCTGTTACTTACCTTTACAGCCCTAAACAGTCTGGGAACATTGTATCTATGGGACCACCTCTTCCTATATACCCCTCAGAGACTGTTATGCTCATCTGGTAACAACCTATTGGTAATCCCTGCTCCCAAAGTGGTCTGGCTGTCCTTGACCAGGTCCAGGGACTTTTTGGTTCTGGGCCAAACCTGGTGGAACTCTGTCTAGTAAGACTCGGGCCATGCGGGGCTTGGTTCAGTTCCGCAGGGCCTGTAAGACCAAGATGTTCCACTGGGCTTATGGCGGAGGACAGACAGTTGGAGAAATCAGATGAGCTCCCTCTTCCCCCGCCTTCCTTATTCTCCATTTTCCCTCCTTCCACCATGTTTGTCTTATTTTTCTTTATTCTGTTCCTCCTCTCTTGATCTTGCCCTCCTCCTTTCCCCTTCCTTTCCTCCTTCCATGCCATATTTTTGTTTTGTCATTTACTGTTGGGCTGCAGATTTCTCTGTGCTGCCTGCCTCCCCATTTGCCCACTTGTCATGGATTGTTAGAGCACCATCTAACATAGTAGACGGGCTGTTAGGTTTTTAATTTGTAATATTTGGATTTTAAAATTATAATATGTTGATCTTATTCAGGGGTCATTTTGTAGAAAAAGAGGTTCAGGAGCTCATTAGCATAACTCATTAGCACAACTTATTTGCATATGCCACACCCCCTGACATCACCGGAAGTGTGTCAGAAGACAACACCCACCACTCAGGCACCACTGGACTGTTTTGGATTGCTAGCTGTTGGGGGGGGGACGTGCAGATCTGTCCTCATAGAGGAGGGAGAGCTTGTACCTGAATAAAACTTGGTCTTAAAGGTGCCACTGGACTGCTTTGGGCCGGGGGGCTGGGGGGAGCTTTGCAACTTACCAGGCTGCTTCTTGCTCTGACTGAGGGCTGCTGGGAGCAGGGGGTGGGGCTTGTTGCATGTGCCCACCCCCTGGGCTCTTTACTGTCGGAGCTCCGCTCCTGTGTGCTCCTGCAGGAAATGACCCCTGATCTTATTGTATATTTAACTGTTGGAAGCTGCCCTGAGTCCTGCTTAGTGGGGAAAGGAGTGGGATATA